TTTCATGTTGCTGCTGATCTGTTTCATGTTGCTGCTGATCTGTTTCATGTTGCTGCTGATCTGTTTCATGTTGCTGCTGATCCGTTTCATGTTGCTGCTGATCTGTTTCATGTTGCTGCTGATCCGTTTCATGTTGCTGCTGATCTGTTTCATGTTGCTGTGTTCATTCGTGCTCATCTGCTCACACAGACTCATGTTCGTGCTGCTGTTCGGCCTATGAGATCTTATTACTGTATTTCTTTTACATTTTAGTACTTATGTTGGATTTAACACGGACCCTGTGTATGACAGTTAAAAACCTTGAATCCTTGACCATGTGAGAAGTACTGTCTCCTGTTAGGATGTAGAGTACGCCCATATTCAGACAACAAAGCTTGAATGACTCGAGCAGATTTGGTTATAAGCTCACCTTTTACACATGAGCAGTCTAGGATTGGGTCTAACCTGAAACAGGGAATTGAAATGCCGTCCCTTCCAACGTGACAGGAGACGGCCATTATCAGAACTCCTGATGCGAGTCCCCTGCAGAATAGCCACATCGGTATTAAGGTGTTTGATGTGGGACAAGTCCCTCCTTCTCTTAACTGGACGTGTGCAGTAAACACGTAGACTGGAATGTTTTTTATCAGCCTAAAGAAACACGTTGACCTTTGACCTCTGTTTTCCTTCAGCCCGTGGATATTTCTCAAGCTGTGACTGAGAGGATCAAAGCTCAGAGGCGATTGGCTGAGAACCCCTATGACATCAGCGCCATGTGCATGCTCAGCCGGGCTCAGGAGCAGGTACTCGTAGAGTTATTACCTCTGTTTCAGAACCAAGTCCAGCTTGAGCTGGGGATCTCGGCTCACTTTCTCTGACAGCCGAGCTAAAATCCCCACCGTTGGATTCTGACACGACTGAAAGTTTTTATGAATAAGCTGGATCAGATTCATGAGGCTTGAAATGGGAAAGCCTCTTTATGATTAATGATGTGCACGGTGAGTCTTTTGACAAATGCTAACACGCGGTTTTACAGGTTTTTTTCATTCTAGCTACCTCTGCATACTTTGTGCTATTTTAGTCTTTCATGTTCCAACATCTTCAGCTCATACGCTTTTTTTGTAACTTTTATACTAAGTTGATTTTAGCTTTTTTCATTCGGCTACTTTTTTATTACATTTCTGCTACTTTCAGCTAGTATCAAGTTGATTTCAGCTTTTTCATTCAGCTACTTTTTTAGTGCATTTCTGCTACTTTCAGCTAGTATCAAGTTGATTTCAGCTTTTTCATTCGGCTACTTTTTTAGTGCATTTCTGCTACTTTCAGCTAGTATCAAGTTGATTTCAGCTTTTTCATTCGGCTACTTTTTTAATGCATTTCTGCTACTTTCAGCTAGTATCAAGTTGATTTCAGCTTTTTCATTCGGCTACTTTTTTAGTGCATTTCTGCTACTTTCAGCTAGTATCAAGTTGATTTTAGCTTTTTTCATTCGGCTACTTTTTTTAGTGCATTTCTGCTACTTTCAGCTAGTATCAAGTTGATTT